CAACTGACAAAAAAATAAGTACACAGGGTAGATGGTGTTCATATGTCTTAGTTGTAATTACATGGGTTAGATTTCTGTAATTAAATCAAGAGAAGGAAATACATAATAAATTTAAAGCAAATGAAGGAGAAGAAATAAAGCAAGTTTAGAATAACTGCTATTAGAAATTATATTAGACTCTATTGTTACAGGGTAAATTTAAAAATCTTACAGTTATACATTATAGCACACCCTATACTGAAGAAACTCCAACTATTTATAGAACAAAATATGCATCAATTGGAGGATGGAATTACACTCTAGTTGATTAAATATTGTGGAAGACTTTTGTGTCTGTCAATATAGCACACTCAGGATCCTAAAACTCCTTTAGCTAGAATCATTTTCAATAGCTGTTAAATCAATGAAATACTCTGGAGACTGAGACAGGAGGTTCACTTGAGCCCAGATGTTCCAGGCTGCCATGAGCAAGATCCCATCTCAAAACACACACACGCATACACAAACACACATATGCAAAAAAAAAAAAAATAAACCCAAATCTTCAGAATAAATTTAACAAAGGAGGTTAAATATCTGTATACCGAACATTATAAATATTGATGAAGAAAATTGAAGATACAAATAAATGGAAAGATATATTTTGCTTGTGAATTGGAAGAATTCATATGTAAAATTCTCATACTGCCCAAAGGAATCTATAGATTCAATGCAATCCCTATCAAAATTGAAATGACGTTTCCACAAAAATAATAAAAATTCTTAAATTTATGTGAAACCACAAAAGATCCTGAATAGTCAAAGCAAACTTGAACAAATAGAACAAAGCTGGAGACATCACAGCACCTAATTTAAAAATATGCAAGACTACAGTAATCAAAACAGCATGGTACTGCCATAAAAACAAAAATATACACCAATGGAACAGAATAAAAAGCAGGAACAGACCCACACATTTATGGTAAATTTATTTTTGACAAGACGTCAAGAACAAACAAGGGGAAAAGGAAAATCTTCAGTAAATGGTGTTGGGACAACTGAATATCCACATGCAGAGAAAACAAAATTATACACTTATTTCATACCATATACAAAAAGTAAATAAAAATAGGTTAATCAGTAAAATTTCTAAAAGAAAACATTCATGACATTTGTATGGGCAACAATGTTCTAAATACAACCTGAGAAACACAGGCAACAAAAGCAAAAATAGACAAAAGGAATTGCAACAAACTAAGAGGATTCTGTAAAACAATGGAACCAATCAACAGAGTAAAGTGACAGCCTACAGAATGGATGAAAATATTTGCAAAGCATGCAGTTAATAAGGAAAAAATATTCAAAATATATAAAAATTTCAAACAACTCAATAGTAAGAAAATAAATAACCTGATTGAAAATTTAGCAGAGAACTTAGAAGGCTCTCAAAAAAGACTTAAAAATGGCTAAAAGATATGTGAAAATGCTCCACAACACTAATAATAATAATAATAATTATTATTATTATTATTTTGAGTTGGAGTCTCACTCTGTAGCTCAGACTGGAGTGCAGTGGCCGCTCCCGGCCACTGCAGCCTCGACCTGCTGGGCTCCGGCGATCTTTCCGCCTCAGCCTTCTGATTAGCTGGAATTACAGGCACACGCTACCACGCCCGGCTGTATTTTTTGATTTATTGTAGAGATGGGGTCTCGCCAAGTTGCCCAGGCGGGTCTCGAACCCGCGGGCTCAGGCAATCCACTCACCTCAGCCTCCCAAAGCACAGGATTACAGGCTGAGCCACAGAGCCTGGCTATAATAATTATTATAATGCAAATTAAAATCACAAGATATCACCCTATACCCGATACAATGTCTATTATTAAAAACATAAAAGTTAACAAGTGTTGACTAGAATGTAGAAAAAATAACCACTTGTACACCGTTGTTGGGAATGTAAATTGGTACAATCACCATAAAAAACGGCATGGCATTTCCACAAAAATAAAAAAATAGGGCTACCATATGATTCAGAAATCCAATTAATGAGTATATATCCAAAGGATATAAAATCAGTATATCAACGACATATCTGCATTTCCATGTTCATTGAAGCTTTACTTACTGTAACCAAGATATGGAAACAATCTGTCTAACAAGGAATGAATATATTTTTAAATGTGGCATAGAAGTACAATGAAACACTACTCAGATTTAAAGAAGAAATTCATTTTGTCTTTTGTGACAACATGGAAAAACCTGGAGAACATTAGGTGAAGCAGGCAAATGCCATATGATCTCACATATATATGGAATCTAAAAAAAAATCAAACTCATAGAAACACAGAGTAAACCTGTGGTTACAGAGGCTGAGATATGGAGAAGTAGGGGAGATTGTAGTTAATTGATGAAATTTCAGTTAGATAGGAGGAATAAGTTCAAGAGATTTATTGCACAGTATGGTGGTTATAGTTAAAAACAATTTTTTTGATAATTTCTAAGAGAGTAGATGTTAAGTGTTCTCACCACAAAAAAAGATAATTATATGAGAAAATACATATGTGAATTAGCTTGATTTTGCCATTCCATATGATGTATATGCACGATAAAATATTGTGTTGTACACCATAAATACATACGTTGCTATTTGTCCATAAATTACTAATTCAGAATGAATATTAACATTTTGCCTGAGTAGTCGTCAATGTTTATTGTAAGAAATAATTGCAGCAAAATTATGAGCATCATACAAAAATCCTGTAATTCATCTCTATTCTTTCTGAACCATCTTATGTACTGACTGTTGCCTTTAAAATGTTACCAATTTAGCAGATGAAAAATAGTGTCTAATTTTCAATAAAAGCAGAAGGGATGTTTTAGCAATCCCTACTTTTTAACTGCCAGTCTCTGAGGAATCTAATAACAAGCAAGTGTGTGTGTGTGTGTGTGTGTGTGTGTGTGTGTGTGTGTGTGTGTGTGTTTCTCTTACCAAGGGATACATTTAAATACTGCTGTCTTGTGAATCCAGAGCATAAAATAAAATCACTGGATGATAAGGATTAAGTATCCAGGATTATGTACTGGTGTTACTTCCTAAATCCAAGGACAAACTGGTAGGTTAGATAATACTGATATATTACTCTACCTATATTACTACATCTAGAACACTATTTGCATTTACAATGTTATATAGGCTCATAAATAATAAAATACAAATGTCAAATCTAAAAGTGAAAGGGGGGCTAGAAAGGAACAAATTCAACTGGAAAAAACTAGAGTTTCTCACAACTGGAAGAAAACCTATATAATCTGAAATTTTTCTTTTGTAGTTAAGAGAATAACCCAGCAACCCAGGCCAAATCATTCTTAGAGAACAGTGATTTTGAGACGTTTACATTGTTTTCTTACTGATCAGTTTCAATGATTTTATTGTTTGAATTATGGCATCATGTAAAGAACGTCACTCAGTAGATTTTTGGGATGCAAAAACAATTACTGCTAAAGAGAGATAGATAATAGGACTACAAGGATAAAATGTTTTATTCACAGCTTCATTCTTTCTAAGATAGAAAACCATAAAACACTGCCACTCATAATACAGTTGATGCTCTCTTTACACTTGTTAAATTTATGAGGAGGAATGTATAAAGAAATTTAACATTCATACAAAAACAATCTAAAAATGGTCAAATATTTAAGTACTATTTAGGTAAAAAATATCTTGGAGAAACTGAATAGTTTAAATATCTCAAATCCATGTGCTCTGCACAATCTACACATTTGCACATTTTGTAGAAACACAGAAGATCCAGAAGGTTTAGCTGAACATGACTGTAAGATTACTAGCACATTGAAAAAATAAGAATGTTCTTTATGCTTAGCTAGATATATTGTATTTTCAAAATTTAAATCATATGATTAAGAGATTACAAAGTACAGAGAAATATCACATATATCTGATTTTCTTCCTTCATAATCATCATTATGTCTGGGCCTAGGACTCACACAGAAAAGAAAAGTACTGGAGATGGACAAGAAACCTGTAATAAAAAGTGTATAATTGACCTCCATCAAGACAAAGGAAGAGACGCTGAACGAAATAGCTTAATGTAGATTGTGCTCTGTCCTTTTAAAATGTAAGTATTCATTTTTAAAAATTCATTTAACTTTGCCTAATCCATCTAAATCAGAGATGTAATATCTATTACTTATATCCATCCTGAAAAAAAGTGAAAATTAAATAAACTTTAGAGAATATCACTGTGAGGAAGCAAAGATCAAAAAGAGTTACTTTCTAAAGATACTGTTCAAGAAATGCATCTACATTTTGCTTTTGTTGTTGTTGCTTACTTTAAGAAAGCAGAGGTAAATGATTCACCTCTTTCTTAAACTACCTCTTAGAAGGAAAACATTTGAACAAGAATGAAGTAATGATCAACTGTACTACATTCTGTCTTAATATTCAACTTTATGTCAACATTATGAGCATGGTCTCTATTTAGTGTTTTGTAGTTTCCTTAAGAAAGCACAATGCACATTTGTTATCTGTGCAATATTTTTTAACATGATATAGTACTCAAGGATTTTAGTACACGTTGAGGATATGACAACAGTGTGTTTGTCAATGTATTTCCTAAGAGACACAAAAATATGAAAATCTACTCCCATGATACTTTTCAAAACACTTCGCCATTTCTATAATAAACTAAGTGATCATTCACAGTCTGATTTGGAGCTAAACATGAAGGGATATTCAGTTTAGTCAAATGTCCTTGCTTTGTATTAACTGAGGTTAATTTGATCCAATTGACTCAATAAACACCAGTTTCCAATGGCTTTGTGGTCTTGTGAAGTATCTCTTAGCTAAAAATACCAAAGAAGACCTATAAAACAGTTACTTTGCCAAAAATGTTGGTTTCATGAATAAATAATAAAATGCACTAAATTATTAGATCTCCTGTCATGTGATTTTCTGTTTTTCCCTCTTTTAGACAACTTGTCACAAACTCATGCAAATGGATAAATGGATACCCTGAGTAACAGCTCAAGTGTTTCTGAATTTATCCTGCTGGGACTTTGTAGTTCTCAAGAACTCCAAATACTCTTCTTTGCAATGTTCTTTCTTGTTTATATAGCCATCATAGTGGGAAACCTCCTCATTGTGATCACTGTGATATTTGACAACCATCTTCATTCCCCCATGTATTTTCTTCTGGCAAATTTATCATTTTTTGACTTATGTCTTTCCTCTGTGGCAACTCCCAAAGTGATTGCAGACTTTCTTAGAAAACACAAGACCATCTCCTTGTGGGGTTGCATGGCCCAGATGTTTTTTATGCACTTCTTTGGGGGCGGTGAGATGTCTCTTCTGATAGCCATGGCCATTGACAGGTACGTTGCCATATGCAAACCCTTGCACTATAAGACCATCATGAATCACAGAGTGCTCATGGTGTTTCTATTGCTCTCATGGGCAATTGGGTTCACACATACCACAAGCCAAATGGCTTTCACTGTGGGTTTGCCTTTCTGTGGCCCCAATGTTGTGGACAGCATTTTCTGTGACCTCCCCCTGGTCATCAAGCTTGCCTGCACTGAAACCTATATCCTAGAGCTCTTGGTGATTGCAGACAGTGGGCTTCTGTCCCTGGTCTGCTTCATTCTGTTGCTCGTATCTTACATCATCATGTTGGTTACCATCAGGCAGCATTCCTCCAGTGCATCCTCTAAGGCTGTATCCACATTATCTGCTCACATCACTGTTGTAATTCTCTTCTTTGTTCCAGCTATCTTCATCTATGCTTTTCCATTCAATAGTTATTCTGTAGATAAGTTTCTTTCTGTGTTTTATTCTATAATCACCCCCCTCCTTAATCCAATTATTTATACTCTGAGGAATCAGGAAATGAAAGCAGCCATTAAGAGACTGAGCAGCCAGTATATTGGCTCTTGGCTGGACCTTTAAATATTATTTGTAATATCTGATTTTTTTGTACGCTATTTGGTATTTGAGTCCTAAATATGTATTTAAGTAATGTAAATGAAAATGTTAATATCAATTTTATTCCCCTCACATTCCTGGAATTATTTAGCTATTTTTTATTTAAGATTTCTAATGGAAAGCATTCATAACACAGGCATAATACTTAGAACAGCATGCATTTATTATATACCTCATCATCTTAGAATCTTTGGAATATATAAAAATAATGTCTTCTTATAAAAATCTTAAAATGGGGCAACTCCCTTGGGTCCTCTCCCACTGTGGGAGATTTTCTGTCCTCTCAATAAATTCTGCCTTAAAAAAAAAATCTTAAAATGTTCCAGTGACTCAAGATGTAAAATAGAAATATTTAGTAAGATAACATGTGAAAGGATGCTTAGTATAAAATTTTCTTTATAGACAATAGTTGTGTCTTTAAACTTAATGAGGGTTTTAAAAATGTCTGATGATACATGTCAACCTATAGCAGCTTCTCAATAGAATTAGGAAATGAATTAAAAGTTTCAGAACTCTTTTTTTACTCTGTGGTCTCAATAGGGTAATCATTCTCAGTGGAACATAAAAATTTGTTTAGAAATAAATATTTGTGGCTCGGTACAGTGACTCAGGCCTGTAATCCCAACACTTTCAGGGCCTGAAGTAGGAAAATTGCTCGAGCCCAAGAGTTTGATAACAGCCTAGGCCCCATACAAGACTCCATTTCTAAAAAAATAATAATATAATTAGCCAAACATGGTGGTGTGTGCCTGTAGTCCCAGCTACTCAAGAGACTGAGGTGGGAGGATCACATAAACTCAGGAATTCAAGACTGCAGTGAGTCATGATCATGCCACTGCACTCCAGCCAGAGCAACAGAGGGAGACCCTGACTCAAAAAAAAAAAATTAAATATTAAAACTTGAAGCTGTGTACTTGTTACTCTTTCTATACCAAACAACATTGATTTGTCGATGTTCTTTCAAGTGACTTTAGTCATTCATTAAACAGTCTTTTAGTAAATATTTACTAAGTACTGGACTTTTTCCCAAGCAATATAGCTACATTGTTAATGATACATATCTGGTCTCTGCCTTGAAGGGAATAACAAAGTTGTAGGGAAGGTATCCTTAGGCATGGTGGCCTTAGAAGACCACTGGGAGGAGTTAAGTCACGATATTAAGAAAATCACAAGATTAAACACCCGAAAGAAAAAGGACATTCCAGGAAGTAGGGCCAGTCTACACAGATATTGTGGAATGAGAAAAAGCTTGTAGGTAATGAGGATAAAGATTTTTGAAAGAGATTGATGAGTTAAAGGGAGCAACTTGAGTGCTGAGATTTTATAGAAGAGGAGACACCAGAATATGTAAACCCAGTGAATCCTTTTTCATTGCCAATGTAAAGTCATTGAAAAGTTTTTAGAATGGGAAAGATGAGCGTCAACATACTTTTAAAATTTAATATAACTCTTTTAAGTGGAAAATAAATTGTAGCAAAAATGAAATAAGACAGAATTAAGTTAGTTAGCTCTTTCCCTTAGTCAGGCTGGATTTATTGAATGATACTAATGGTGACTTTATTGAAACTTGATAATAAGGCCTTCTAAAGACAAATAAAAAAACCTAAAACTATGCAAAAACCCAAAGACCATCTTCTGGAGTGCTGTCTTTTATTTTATAAAATAATATACTGTGAATATCAGACTTACATGTTACCTCCTTATCTCCTTCTTCCTCTTTTGAGTATTTTTGTCCCACTTAAATTTGTCCTTTTATAAATTGCAGCCTTATTCTGGAAAATTATTTGTATGCTATGTCACCAATTGGTGTGAGTAAACTAGTCTGGGCATCTAATTAGTTATGTCATCTTTTTAATTTCTGTATTTAAGAATTCCTTCTTTCCTAAAGGGATTGGCAGTGGTGGGAAACTGCCAGGGGGAGGGGCAGGGTGGGACTGGCAGTTGAGGGCAACTGCTAGGGGACGTGGGAGCACACCTCATCAACAAAGATACCTGCATAATCTACATTTGTATACCTAAACCTGAATTCTACCCCACATCCTAAAAAAAGAAAATTCTTCTTTTCCTACAAACACCTTTTCAAATAGTAATGCAACACTAAACTGTAGCCTACAAACACTCAGCAGAAACAAATTTAAAAGGTTTTATTTTTTATGGAAATTCTGATTGATTTGCTAGTGACTGAGTGAGGTAATACATTTTTTAAAACATTGGAGGCTCAGTCACAGTGAGTGAGAGAGCTACTAGCAATTTCTTCTGTAAGTTTTGGAAGTTAATGTAGCACACCTTTATCCTATATTACCACCTTTCCGTAATATTTTCAAGAAAGTTATAATTGTTGAAAATCTTGGAGGGGTTACATATAAAAAATAAACACACAAAAAAATCTTTCTAGCAAATGAACTCATCTTTCATCATGTGTTGTGTGTTAACCTTTATAATTTTGCTCACTTAACTGCCTTGTTGTACTATAAAGTTATATCATGATCTTCTAATATCACTGGGTCATTAAGAAGTTGTACATAATTGCAAAGAATTTAGTGAAATTCTAAAACTTTTGAGTGGTGGATTGCTAAACTCCTTCAATTTATTACCATTAATCAAGAAAAGCCATTAAAAATAATGAAAGTCCCACTACCATTCACTCTCTCTCTACAGTTTCATATACAATAAAAGGAGTTCATGTATGTTAAGAACTAGTCGGTGATCTATGAAATTCCTTTTAAGCTTTGTTCTTTGTAGTCATTGTTTATTTTAATTTTACTTGAATAAAATCATTCAATTATCACATTAATTATAAATATTCATGTAAATAAAAGATAATTAACATTTCTTTAAGTGTCATCTACTGTAAGTTCATTTTCTATAAATGTGTTCACCCACCACTACCCAAACCATTTGAGATAGTTCTTCAAGAGGAAGCACATTCTAGAGAAAGTCCGCATGGCTGATATACTTGATGAATTTACAATCCATGTAAGTAATGATAGAATAAGTCCTTGCTCTCAACTATACAGAAAACCAACGTGTTTATTTTTAAATTTTCCTCTGGGACTTATTTACTAGCCTGTATCCTATGCCTATGTTTTCTGTCTCCCTTTAATTTTTTTTAATCTGCAAATGATTGCCATGTATTTCACTGGATTTAAAAAATAGAATCAACATACATTCAGAATTTGAATGTTTCTAAATATCTTTGAAGAGGTCACTCCTCAGCTGGTACTATTAGGTTTAAATAGTATTGCTGACAGTATATGCAATTATATTCTTTAATTAAAAATGAGATATTTTATATAAATCTCGTAACAGAATTAAAATCATGTTATTTTATCATGAAGGAAAAAATAAGTTGTAATTTTGGTCAAGTAGAATCTGGAAAAGTGTATCTAGTTGTAGTGGGAAGCGGAAGAGACTCTCTGTGACTGGTGAATAAATTCATCTTACGTTCTTGATTCAAGTGGTCAGTTCCACAAGTTGAACTTTAGGTTTTGAAATGTAAACTTGTATAGTTTAGTCCACAGAGGATTAAAAACTAAAATATGGTAAAATGATAAAAAGTTAAGTTTTTTCTTGGCTAAATTTAGCATCTGTGATAAGTGTAACAATTAATTAATAAAATCTCAGATAAAGAAAATTGGTGATATGTATTTATTTTGTTTTAATATTTAATTTTCTTATTTATATTTTAATTTTTATAGTTTATTTTTTAATTCAGAAAACATTTATGGACTATCAATTGATAAATGATTAATTCACATTGATTCCTTCTTATCTCCCTTAACTCTGCTCTTATTTTCTTAATTGAATAATATAATCTTTTAGCCAACAATTGTCTAATTATATTGCTAATATATTCATTTTTGATAATTTTGCCACCCAATAACTATCTTCTATTTTCTAAAGCAACTGGCACCTTTCTACCTACATATAAAACAGTTCTTTTTCTAGTTTATTAATTTGATTAACTTATGACAACAAAGTTTGTTTGCACTTATAATTTTTTTCTATTAAAAGTACAAGTGTATTACTGTGATTAGGAAAATATTTGTAGTGGTTATTTTGACAGTAAATCTTTTTTTCTTTCCAAACATTTTTTGAAGTTATAAGTGAAAATTTTTCATAAATTATATAATGCTTATATGGTTTGACACTTTAATAAAAAGGAAACATAACAAATACTCGTGACCAATAGAAACTGTGCAGTCTTCATTCTAATTAAAAGAATGATCAGTTACATCTTTTTACACACACTAACTGTTCTATCTTAGTGCTTTTGTGAAAATTCACTTGTTACTGAACATGCATCCACAGTATTGGGTGTCCTATGATTATTTTTAAGCAAGCAACCACAGTTGAAAGGAGTGAAGAAATTCTTAGTCTTTTAGTCACATAAAAGAGCAAGACATTAAAAGAGGTAAGCTCTCCCTATCATAGGCCATGCATCACATTCTCAGACACAGTTACTTCAGAGGGAAATCAAACACTGCTTGATCCAGTTTTGTTCAATTATTTTTTATTCCTTTTAGGTTCATCATAATTTGTATACTACTCAAAAATTAAAAATTTAATTTGACATTTAACTGTGGCTTTAGTTAGGAGGACCCTTTCTATTTTGTTTTAACTTATTTTAGTGCTTTCTGAATTTAAAAAAAATATATTTTTAAAGATATTTAATTTGGAACTATTTGTACAAATTACCACAATGAATGACTTTATATCAACAAATTTGAATTCATCTGTACATAGACTTAACTGGATATTCTTATGAATATACTTATATAATTTTAAAAAACTAAAAAGTAATATAGTTTAAAGCTCTTAATTTTTCAATTTTATATATTAAACTAAAAAATTTACTTTTGTGAGTTTCATCAAGATTTTATCCTGGTAGTATTTGGAGATTGAGGATTCCACAGTTTTGAAAAACAATTTCATAACTAATATACAGATTCAGTTACTGCATG